GTGGACCGATAAGTACTCACAATAATTCCCTGCCACCATGTTCCTGACCATGGGCCATGGCCACTATGGACTGGATGAATATTGCAAGATCTTTGGCTACAGTTTTGGCAATGCTTCAGTAGCAGAATTGACGCCTTCAGAAGATCTTGCCAACACATTTAGATTGTAATTCTTGCATTTAATATATTTGTCAGTCTTTGGCACAGTATTTAGAAAAAAGTAAGGTTTCTTCACTTTCTGGTACGTTGGAGTTTGGATGCATCAGGATGCAGTAAAGCTTGTCCGGAAATCGGTTACGATGAATTTGTGCCAAAAAAAATGTACCTAAACAAAATGTAGTTGCGGTCACATTAGAGCAGTCAGAGTGTCAGACTGCATCATCACATGTTCAGTTGACGCTTGCTGTATAATCGGACTATTTTTATGGTAAAATTAGGTATTTGGGTAACACATGCTGCAGGAGTATGGACTGTGGAGTGTGGGCTTTACTCTGTCTGAACTCTGAAGGAGCACCGAGCAAGAATTAGAAACTGATTTGCAGCATGCAGGCAAGAACTTGAAGAAGCTAAGAACCAAGAAGTAACCGTCTTTACAGATGCAGTCTTGTTACATGAAATTGAAAGTGCATACTGATCTAGTGATCCTACGATATACTGGTCTAGCAAGCCGGTCATAATAATTAATATACTGGTGAGTGCCGGACTGTGGTCGCCTGGTCCTAACAAAATGAAACAAATTTTCAATTCGTGAATCACATTTTCTTTGCCATGTTATATGCATTTCTACATCCGCAGATGCGGACTTAGTATAATAGGAGTCCCCATTGGGAGTCCCATTCTATTAAAATATTCGTTAGCCTTTTTAAATTCCCACGTCAGACTGATAGACATAATATAGCATTTGCTTGTTATTGAAAGTAATTATAATATTGTAGAGATTGTAAAGCTTACTTTCTGATTAAATGACACCACTTCCCCAGATTGTTTCCCAATTGATGTACGGTATTTATTTGCGCGTATCAATTGCACAAAGACTACGTTTTAATCAAAACCGAAGGCAACCGAACAAGTTTTGCAATCTGTGCGCCAGTGCATAGTTACCAATGAACTGAAATGAAATAGCTACAAATTAAAGTAAGAAGATATGCCTTAGCATCACAGAGAGACTAAGTGATAAGGAGGGACAAGTGAACAGCAACAACAACGAAGACATTCGGATAAGAGGTCGGTTATGCGAAACGTTGGTCGCTCGCACAAGAGAAAGGGAGATAAATGCAAGTAATAATACCTACATAATAGCTTAACCTAACACTGCAAACTGTAGTGAGGTGCCCTGGAACAATGCCCCAAGGAAAGGATATCCTATAGGACTTTTGACGAGCAGAGGCACACATCAGGAGACTCCGCTCCCCGAATGGTCATATACTTAAATTCTCCATCAATTACACCACCGTGTTATCAATGATTGTAATATGTATTGCATACCGTTATATTTCCATTCAATATAATATTATTAGGAATAAGACTTTAACGCAATAAATAAATTATGGCAGGATAATGAAATTACATTGGAAAATCTGCAGTTTAGAAAAGGATCTATAAAATTGCTCATAGCCGGAACTAATAATAAAGATGATTAATAAAAAATGCGATGATTAATAATAAATCACTTGACATAAGAAACACTACGCTTACAATAAAAATCAAGCAATAAACAAGACACGAGTCAGCGGGTGCGCGGTGAGTGTAGTCAATTAGGCAGGTGGTATTCAGTCGGATTACGAGCTCAAATTGGTAGTACATCTTGTATTCGACTGCGGCATTCAGTCATCGAGCACATTAATTCTTATCCGAATTGATATCGGTCAATAGCTTGCCTACACGAGGACTAGGAAAGTCATTCGTGAATGCCAGAAGCAAAGCAAATTATTGTTTACATTATCAATGACAACTTCCTTGCAAGTTCATTGAAGTGAAACGGAAGCACTCTTGCTCACTACCCTAACTTGAAAGTGATTCAATTTAAAATTACCTGTCAAGATATAAAATAGATGAGTTGAACATAAGATAACATATGAACGGAACCAAAGGCGAGAATTAACGAAGCGACTATACATTCAAAATTATAGCAAACGCATCATAACCACCAGCGTTGTATCAAGGCTTGAACAGAGAACTCCACAAACTTTATCGATGTGAAGATATTTTAACAGCCGTGGGTTGGTTTTTAATATTCATAGACATTCTAAACATTTACGATAAATTAATACATACAATTGCGCTCTATCACAGTACGATTATTTAGCTTCACTGAACATCAAAAACAACTGAATATGCTCACAGTTTCAGCATATTTTAATGATGTTTAATACTGAAATTCATGTCGGTAAACATCGAAATTGCATTAATTAGCTCGCATTTGCATTCGCTGTCATTACCAAGGACCGAAAATTAAATCGGGTATAAATAAGCTGTCCAATCAGATTCCATAAATGATGTAAAACCTTAAGAATATTAAAAGTAAACTAACACGTTCGAGAATGGCGAAAATGTTGCAAAAAATCCTCCAAAAACATTACACTAGAAAGTGTGATGGAAATTATGCCAATATGCCAACCGATAGTTACATGTGGAAAATAAACGTACAAAATTTCTATGTCCGACATAGGTTTTAAGAATGAACCACCCACCAGCTTCAAACAAGATATTTTGTTACTATCAACAAAATCTGCCTTACATATTTAAGCGTGGCGCTTAACTCACAGCGCTTTCCTTCCTACAATCTTCTATGAGCAACTGAGGAGTTGATACCTGGAACGTCTCTAAGGAACAAATTTCAGCGTCTATATAGTTTCGCATCTATAGTTTCTTAATATAAAAAATGAAACAGTCAAAGTTTTAAACAAATCATTGTCATTTCCATTATAAATATAAGTGAAACTCTAAGAAACATAACCTCTATAAAAACGACCTTAGCTACTGGAATGGAATGGAATGTAATTAAATTGCACCGCCCCTCCCCCGCCCGGCTAGGGGCGCTCGCCCATTCCCCCGCCCGGCTAGGGGCGCTCGCCCACTCAGCCCGCCCGGCTAGGGGCGCTCGCCGACTCCCCTCGCCCGGCTAGGGTCGCTCCCCCACTCCCCCGCCCGGCTAGGGTCGCTCGCCCACTCCCCCCGCCAAGTCAAAGACGAGTCTGGACACCTGCAGAGCGAGCTCCTCTACGTGGGACTGGGTGGCGGCCTCAGCGTACACACGTACCAGGTCCTCGGTACCTGACGGGGAAGATCGTGAGGACAGTAAGTTAAGCAGGGGAACCACAACACAATAAGTGCACAGGAGCTCTGGGTTGAGCCTCGTACTTTGATCTCATGTGGTCGTCTTGCCAAGACGGTGCTAGAACTGTGCGGTGCGGTCTGCTGTCGGCGTTGAGCCATTATTCTATAAGAAGTTTTTCTCTATATTATACTTTATTTGGAGTGTAGATTCCTCAAAGCTTCTAGCGCATATTTTGTGTGTTAGAAATCAACCGTAATGACATTAATACTACTACGTAATGTGATAAAATACTTTATAACATTTTCGATAAATTACTTGCCTGTTTACATGAAGAAACAGTATTTAGATTCAATGTTAAGACCTGTCTTTCCCAAATTACCAAATAAAAAAAACATTCTTCTCCGTCATTTTCCCCAAATTTTTTTCGCGATGAAAAATCTTTTTTAAAATTTCTAACCAAGGCAACGGTGGTCTCATCATTAATGCATGAGCATAACGCTGCGGCGGCCGAAAATTGCACTTTATCTTCCACATCCTGCAGTCAACCAGCAGTAACTTGGATCCATAACCAGCAAGACAACCGGACATAAATCGCCGCCAACCTCGGCATAACCCACATCCAACCTGGATCCATAACCAGCAAAAAAAATGGACTACATCCAATCTGGATCCGGATCTTGCAGCCAGCCTTCGTAAATTGCGATGCCCAGGTTAGGAAGGAGGCTCACCAGAAGGGCGTACGAAGGTGCGGGCGCGCGCATGCAGGAAGCTGGTGCTGAGCAGGTCGTCGATGGCAGGCTGCAGGGCGGCAGGCTGCGTGCACCGGCGCTCGGCGTCCGTCGTCTCGAACACAGACCGGTCAGCCACACGCACCTGCAGGTACATACTTAGATGTCATGGAGATGTCGTAAGTGTTATGTAGAAACTGATAACTCGGGTCGAGTTACCACTTAGCAAGATACTTAGAGCCGCACCTACAGGTACATACTCTGAGGTAACATCGTCGTCGTAAGTGCCCCCCAGAACCTCGTAGGGCTTAGGGTTCGAACAAGACACCAACTGAAACACCCAAAGAGTAGGGATCGCATGTCTTGTGATCACCGTATGGTGGTTGGAGTGAATCCATCTACCAGTGCATGTACTGGGAGCTCAACTTCACTTTTTTGCAAACGAACGGAAACCATTCCAACGAAATACGAATTAGATGGCCCCTATATGAATTTATTTCAAATTTTCTTCAAGGATAGAAATATGTAAACGTTGCACTGAAAACGATGTCAGAAACTTTCCACTACTGCATTAGTACGTTCTAATTCTGCATATAAAATATTCCTTCGCTGAAAATCTATGCCATGAATTGTTCAGACCGTGACGAGCTTGTTGGGCATGTCGTGGTACTGGGCGTCCCAGTCGCGCATGCCCCAGCCGCGGTGTCGCAGGATGACCTCCACCAGCAGCAGGTCCGAGATCGCGTCGCCCACCGTCTCGTTGATCAGGTCCTTTACCGCCGCTAGACGCCGCGCCGCCGGCGAGTCTGCTCATCAATCAAGCCAGATGAGCGAGTATTGAAATATTTGTTTTAGCGCTAAAGTGCTACTGAATTATTTCCATTCTCCCCAGCAAACAAAACCTGCTACTCAATTATTTTAAATCTCCCCCAAGCGAAGACTTAATGACCAACAGTTGCCGCAACTGCTCGGTTGCAAAATCATTGTAGTATAAAGTCAAGGTCTACGCCGCACTAGAATAATGAAGACATATTTAATGACTGGATATGAGAGAATAATATGAAAGAACTAAACCTATGATGAAAGATTAACAATTAAGTTCCTCAAATCAAGGGTAATCAAGAGTTCAACTTGAGCTGTGATGACAACCGGTGATGATGACACTGGCAGTGCTGAGACATCGTACTATCAAGTGCTGTTGAAACACCGCTTTTATTCCTCAACGGTATTGCATTAATCTTTTGTCAACGGCTACAGTATTCACCAGCAATGCTGTTCCTAGCTATAGACTCGATAACTAGAAATACTTGCAGTACACAAAAAGTTAACCTTTTCAGTAGTTACAAAAGATTACTATTAGTTACTATCAGTCGACAAAAGGTTAACCCTTGCAGTAGTTATAAAGACTTTCAATCAAAGGCTTAACCTTCAGAGCCCAAGACAGCTCATGAAGAGGCTACAACTCAGACCAGTGGAGGCAGCTTCTTTGATGGCAGCGCTGGCAGAGTCGGAGAAGATGACAGTGCCGTGGCCATTGGCCTCAAAATAAACCCCGATATCGAATGACAGGGCCATGTGATGCAGGTGCTTCACGCCCGTCTTGGCGAAGCCCACAGGAACCTTCAGGGAGTCGTTGACGTACGCAGTGGACGCCCCGTTGGCGTAGGCGGTCTGCACCAGGCCGAGCCGCAGCGCCAGACCTGCAGCATCACAGAAACTTGGGCACTCGTGGCGACGTAAACATTTATGGGACTAGGGATTCTATATAATAATTAAGAAAACTCGAGAATCAAGAGGACTCGAGAATCAAGAGGACTCGAGAATCAAGAGGACTCGAGAGTCTATAGGACTCGACGGCCAAGAAGCATTTAAGGGAACAACTCGATTATACACGTGGAATATATCCACTTACGAATCTCCTGCAGCATCGTGCAGAGCAGCGATTATGTATGCGCTCATCAGTGCAATACAGCGGCGGCGTAATACAGGAATGTATGTTATCATGAATCAGCTGGTAGCATTCAAGGGTAAACATGACAAAACTACGCGAAGAACACAGAGATTACAAAGCATGCGGGCAGAGGTTACTTGAAATGATCAGTATTTCTTTTAATTAAACAAGGCTATCAAGAAGTTTCAGATCTAACTCGACTAAATTGGAAGATTGCACTTAGAACAACCTATTTGCTCTCTCATTTATAAATACATAATTGAATTACAGTCCTTTCTATGGGCATTTTTAGTGAAAGTATGCCGTAATTGCTAGAAAAAACAAGCTGCGGTTAAATTTTTCCGCGAACTAAACCTACCATGGGATCCGAGCCTATATATATTTCTCAAAATAGTAATTATCTCAATCATGGGCAGCATTTCTCTCATAGTTGAGCATCTTTGGACTATTTTCGTTGAAGTTTAATGGGATTTTAATGCTTTACCTGTGAAGTTTTTAAGCCCATTGAGCTCCAGTAGCTCGACTATTCAAGTTAAGGTTACCGAATGAATGAACTTTGCTTACATTATTTGTAACCTAAAGTAATATGGTTCGTGGCGTTCAATTTTGGTGCTCTGAAACATTACATCTTGAGTTGAAGTAAAGTCGTGGCTATCTCTTGCATGGGTTTGGGTTTCTCATGTAGCTAGATTGAGTCGTCATGGTCGTAATAGTTCGGCCTAAGAACATTAGGGACTCTCACTCTGGATGCGTATTCGTATAGTTCGTTGGAGTGTGGGTAGTGTCGGACCTATTTTAGTCATTTTGAACAATGTCATTGAGGTTGGCCTCATGTTGAAGATACACTATTGTATATAAAGTTGTAATCAGTATCGCTTTCGGTTTTGAACCGCAAGCGATTTTTGATGATTGAATTAAAAACCTGTAAATAAGAAGCAGTCGTCGACACAGCAGCCCATAATAATTTCAAACTCTTTTTTTGCTACCATACTAGCTATCAGTAAATGCATAGACTACAATCTACTTGTAACTTCAAAATAACAATAAAATATTTACGTCTGCAGTTAAACCAGCGTCCCAATTTCAAATATATAATCAAAAAATATAACTCAGTAGTACTCACTGCAGAGAGTGATAGAGGGCGCATTTCTCGTCGACGAAAACGTGAAGTCACGGACACAGACGAACATGGAGAGCACAATAGTGCATTTTTTTCCATAAATGAGAAAATGCGCTAAAAAGGGAACAGCCAACGAAACATTTAGCCTCCACATCAGAAGGATATGCCAAATGCGTGGGAGATGAGCTGCACCCCAGCAGCCAGTGCCCCCAGCACCCAGTGCCCCCAGCATGCACCCAGTGCCCCCCCAACTCACCTGCCTCGGAGAGCTGTTCCTGCAGGAAGCCCACAACAAGTGTGGCGATCTTGTCGCCGTCCATGAGGTGGTAGGCGCCGAGCTCGTCTATGTAGGAGTACACGACGCGGTCCGCGTCACCGTCCACCGACACACAGCGACTGCCTGGCGTGGCCGGCACCCCGCTCGGCCAGCTCTGGCTCACCTGGGCATCAAATATTCATCAAGTTCTTATAAATATTCATCAAATTCTTATTGTCTGCTGGCTACCACGTATTTTTGGCATCTTTTATCCATTTTCAAATGCAAGTTGCTCCTTGCATATATGAGGTAAAAAATTAATATGCATGGCTAAATTAAAAGAGGAGAAATAGATATAATAATCACTACTGAAAGCTGTTTATTCCAAAACTACACAACACAACACTGCCTGCATTGGTGGCGCTAATAACATGTGATTGGTGATTGCATGTGATAACATGCAATCATATTATCAAATATCACATGATTGCATGATTGTTATCATGTTATCACATTATCGTCTCCCCTAATAACATGTGATTGTAGGAAGAGTTAGAGAGCACGCATAACAAGATTTAGCATAATCAGGATTCAAGTCAACCAGCTATTTTTTTCCATTAAACATAGTTCTGTACTGCGGTCTAGGTATGGCTAAAGGAACTTAGCAGTCGTATAACATGAGATCTCAATGGTGAATCATTGTAAGACAGTCTGGTCATCCAACAGGCAGATATTTACGGCAACACTCTCACCTCACCCGTCACTCTCCCCTCACCCGTCACTCTCCCCTCACCCGTCACTCTCCCCTCGCCCGTCTCTCTCCCCTCGCCCGTCTCTCTCCCCTCACCCGTCTCTCTCCCTTCACCAGTCACTCTCCCCTCACCCGTCACTCTCCCTTCACCAGTCACTCTCCCCTCACCCGTCACTCTCCCCTCACCCGTCTCTCTCCCCTCACCCATCACTCTCCCTTCACCCATCACTCTCCCTTCACCAGTCACTCTCCCCTCACCCGTCACTCTCCCTTCACCCATCACTCTCCCTTCACCCGTCACTCTCCCCTCTCTCTCCCCTCGCCCGTCTCTCTCCCCTCGCCCGTCTCTCTCCCCTCGCCCGTCTCTCTCCCCTCGCCCGTCACTCTCACCTCACCCGTCACTCTCACCTTACCCGTCACTCTTACCTCACCCGTCACTCTCCCCCTCACCCGTCTCTCTCACCTTAACAAAGTCTGCCCCGCAGCGATAGTTAAGAACCCCCTGGCCCTCTCCCCCATTATGAATGGTAAGCTTGAGCGCTTGGGATATTCTGGGAGCCATAATAGCCATCTGCAGGCCGCCCACGCCGTTGGCGCCGTCGAAGAGCAGGTCCTGGCAGTAGCAGGACGTGGCAGGCTGTGCGCAGGACGTGGCAGGCTGTGCGCAGGACTGCAGCTTCAGGAAAGTCTCTACCAGCTTGTCGGTGTAGCCTTCGTTGCTTGCCACGCCATAGCTGCCCAGAGAGATCATGCGCATCAAATATCAAGATGAATATTTTATTATATGCCAAATCTTTCTTTATTATATTGTACTTGTATTCTATAAGTAGTAGAACTGGTGATGGAGCTGGTCTCCGGAATGATTCTGACAAAGAGAAGGTGAATTTTCTTGTCATTTCTATGATATTCAAATTTTTCTTTGACCTGCATGCTACATTGCATTCAAGATCCACTCTCATCAAGCGCCAATACATCAGTAAATCAGTCCTTTGAAGGCTACTGTACCATAGCCTAGCCTGAGTGATGCCGTTATTACAAGCCTGATCTATTCCAATATATAGATTTATCATCTATTCCTATTATTTCTACCAGCATACAACTAAGTTCAATGGTGCACAGATGTTATAAGGCAAATTTCCCATTGCCTAGACAAAAATATACCTTATTTCTAGCGGTCTTTACAGCTCAGAGCTTGCAGCTAGCTGCTGCAAAGGCTACAGTTAAATTGTGTTGAATGGTTGACATGGGATATGAGGCAAACATAATGACCATAGAAATTATGGTCAATACATCTACATGTCCCATAGGCTTACACTTTCTCAACCTGCATCAGTTCCAGGAGACATTCTTGAAGCGTTATTATTTTTATTTGTACAAGTTCATAGATATACTAAATCAAATCACATAATTCTTAGAATACTCATTGTAAATAAAACATTAAATACTTTAAAATAACACAATGTGACAAAAAGTATGATAGCATTAATGTTACCTGGGGTCGTTGGCACAGCGGACGCGGTAGTGGAGCAAGGGTGTGGTGACCACTCCACAATCAACGACCTTACCACCCAGGGCCTCCACCCCGGACACTGCAGCGGCGTGCAGCGTATTGCTGCTTGGTCTGTGAGATAACACGCATGAATTTATTTAGCACATGTGCACTGTGGAATGCAGGACACCAACATGCTCAGGTCAGTAGCTTGACATGATACTACTGTTTGAGTGTGGATTACTGACGCAGTACACAACTCAATAATTGATGCTCCGTAATAAGAATAGATTTTCATGACGGTTAACTTGATGGTGAGATATTCAACTTTTATTGATATTTACAAAACATATTTGAAGCACATCAAAGAAAACGATTACCACATTGTGTAATTTAATTATTAACTTTTGTTTTTTGGATACCAAAATTATAGGACTGTGATTAATTCAATATCTTCTTCCAGCTAAGAAAGAGAGCATCATATTATACTTCATTAATATAGGTAAACTCTACCAGCAAATGTTTATCCAGAGACGAATCATTCAATGCCCACACATAGTTCTAATTTATTACTGGATTTCCATTAATCCACAAAATCCAAGCAGTACTACAAACACATTAGAAGCAGGGGATGTGATTCAAGGTGAGGATTTTTCTTCCTTTTATCATGAAATTGGGAATTAAAAAAAAACTTTCAGCTAAACTAACACCAAAAAACAAGGACTTCCTAATTATTTCCTGCAGCTGGTAGGTATTAATTTTATTCCTACACTTTGACAATGCAACTTTTCACCACTAATTTCAATACAGCATAGTGAAGATTCATCTTGAATTTTTTTCTAGAACAAAATCCATAAATTTTCTCGTGTAAGTTGAGAAATACACTTGCTCACTTGATTTCCCCAGTAATTCCTAGATTATTCAATGAACACATCAAGCAGCCTTACCGAGTGTCCCTGCCAATCACAACCTGAGCTGTGTGATCAGCAGTAATATGTTCCTCAGTAACAATACAGTGCAGGACGCCAGCCAGCTCATCGTCAGAAGCATTTGCAACATGTGTAGCATGAGCCTCCCATGACTCGACCATCATCTCACCGTAAGGGTCGACAAGCTTAACGCCATTGTCACAGGCAGGGTTATGAGATGCCGTGATCATCAGGCCAATGTGAGCTGCACAGAATGAATGCAGTCAAATTAATTGATTCAAGGACTAGCACAGAATCTTCATAGCAAATTCATAACTTCTCCTAATAGATGCATATAAAACATTCCTTGACTTATAAAATTTGAATGATTCTAAGCAACTTTGTACAATTATAGGCTAGCATTCTGGAGATTTCCTCCATAGATATACTAACTGCAAGTCGCACCGCTAGCCATCAGTAATCTCTGGGAGCACAGCCAGTGTCTGCACCTTAGGATAAATCACTTCCTATCACACTTTCACTACATTCCAAGCTCAGCTACAATGGCAATTTGCACAGTTACAGTTCAGGGTATACCAATATTGGGCAGTGAGCTATGGGTTTGATCCCAGCTACCTGCAATAGTTCTGGTCAGATTGGCAAGGTGGCTGGGCAGTTAAGCAACACAAAAATTGAAGCAGTTAGTTGCATGTTTGAAACCCACAACAAGGTGTGAATATTCTGCAATGTACAAAATTGGCAACACATCTAACAGCCTAATCAATGCAGACTCTGCTAAAACAGACTTCCAAATCCTCTCAGTATTTATTTTTGGTTCCCAACAACATACTTAACCCTTGATCTTTGAAGTTTGTGTTCATGAATTATTACATTCAACACATAAAGGTACCCAATAATTCTCTATTAAACCCAAGAAAATTGGATCTGTGAGGCTGTAGATTTCTAGCATTCCTGGTCATATCAATCATTTGAAAACACATTACAAGTGCAAATTCTGTATATTAGGAAAATGTAATAGGTACTTAATTGGAAACAATTATATCATAAAAATTCAATTTAATCAAATTACAGTTTTATACATGATTGCACAACTGACAACATATTATATCCTTTCCTTATGAAGGTTAAATAAAAAATATATGTGTATTCTTCCTTAAAAATTACCCTTTTTAGCTTTTGATCGGAGAGCAGCAAGCAAGCCCATCCTGAAGAGCACCGTCTCCAGGTCATCGGCTCTGAACAACCAAGAAGATTGTCAGAAAGAGTTTCAATGTCACAAAAATTAACAATCATAATTAAATTCTGACAATAAGCAAATTGATAGGACAAAGCAATAATTGAAAAAAAAAAACTGACAAGACACTAGATAATTAATACCTTTATACCTAAATGTAAATGTGACATGACATCACATATATCATTTATATGGAACAAATAGTTAAAATTAAACTCCTTTCATTTGGAATTTTTTCTTGACTATTCACTTAATTTATTCAAGTGAAAATCTGTTGAGAAAATTAAATACTACAATAATTCTACATGAAATAATAGTGAAATAATTTATTTAAAATTTCATAATTCACCCCAAGCCCCAAGGATAGTTTTTTGAAATGACAAAACCTTGATTGTCACATCAGGGTTGACAGCTGATAAGATAATCATGATAATGAGGACTTGTCAGTTGTCACTTGGCAGTGGGTCACAATGGATCAGATTTTAAATTTAATAATTGAGCCTTGAGGAATAAATTTAAATATCTCAAACTAATGTGCCTTATTTTCAAGTTTTCAGTCAATCTTGAAAGTGAAAAAAAAAATTAAATTACTGGTTAGCTTTTTAGGCAAATATATTGCTTGGTATTGGCAACTGTTGCTCAAATGATCAAGATTTTTTTTTTGCAAATCGGGGAACATATTACACATCTTACTGATTATGCCATTTTTGGAAAATTCTGGGGCATATTTATATTAGGCTATTAGCTAGTCCCTATCCAAGCCAACCTAAACCAAAAACATACACATTAATGTGTGAATCTATTAATATTAATTATTAAAATAAAATGTACCTAAATTAATTATTAATAATAATTAATAAAACATAGGCACACATTTATGTCTTTTAAATCAATGTTTTGTTTTTCGATGTTCACATTCAATCACGACATTCTGATTCTGAATGCAGACCAAATAGTCCAGAAAAAATAATAAGAAGTTCTTACATTGGTTACTTTATTTATTGCTCTGTGATAATTTGGCAAAAGGTCATCAAGTGACATTCAACCACAGTCTCGATTCATTCCTACTACTGGACTGGCCAACGAACCGAATATATAGGTCATCTTTTTAGACGGCAATGTTAAGAGATCACGTTACTCACTTCGTACGAAATCCAGCGGTTCCATATGAGAATAATTTTTGCTGGTTGTTGCTGTATTTTCCGCTGCAAGTAATCACATCGGATCTAAACTCCATCTCATTGAAATGTAATACCGTAACAAGTTACAACCGCACCACTTTATTACAGCCACTGCTCTACTGGCGCACTCGCCGCACTGATCTATCAGAGTGTCAGTTGCCGGCTGGCCGCTGGCTGACCCCATGGCTGACCCGACGTACCTGATTCAAGACTCAACAGGTTTCAAGAGAACTATTATTATCACACATGAAAAGCTACTGATGAGATGATTGTCGAGTACTCTTTTTAAGTTTTAATGCAAAAGAAGTTGAAGCTGCTTTACTATAGGAAACGGCGGTTTTTGTCGTATTTTCGAATTAGGGTGCAGATATTTTGAGATATTTTTTTTGACGACATGTAGATACGCCATCGACAATTCTACGGACCCGCCTGCGGACTCGCGCAACTGGGACACTCATAATTCCTTAAATACTTAACGGATCTGTATGAATTTTGGAATGTGAGTATTAATTATCGATACGCTGCCGCAGGAATTATTACAGATTTTTACATGAATTATTATTAGGTTAGGTTGGGTTAGGTTAGGAAATAATTCATGTAAAAATCTGTAATAATTCCTGCGGCAGTGTATCGATGATTAATACTCAAGTTCCAAAATTCATGCAGATCCGTTAAGTATTGAAGGAATTATGAGTGTCCCAGTTGCTTAAAAAATACGTTTATTGGTTTTAATTAAAAAATAATTCACGTAAAAATCTGTAATAATTCGTGCGGCAGCGTATCGCCAATTAATACTCACATTCCAAAATTCATACAGATCCGTTAAGTATTGAAGGAATTATGAGTGTCCCGGTTGCGCGAGTCCGCTGGCGGGTCCGTAGAATTGTCGATTGAGTCATGTAGATAACTGATCATGATAATGTATGATATTATAAAAAATGTTGAGCTTCAAAATTCATACCTAATGTTTATAAATATTCCCTCTAGAATCAATCATACAACGGAATATGATTTCAATAAATGTTGCCGTATGTTTAATTTGAAAAATAAACTATCGGAATGGTACTTGTACGCAACACAAGGTTTCATTGCCGAATTGAAAACCATGATGGAACCTAACCGCTTTGCCATGCATTAAGGGGACAGTGCAGGCGGCAAGTAGATCCGGCAAATGTCGGCCGCTTGGTGACTATCCGGCAAGTAAGCCTGTACACGAAGACATTATCATGGTTGAACTATGTAAGGTTTACCCACGAGAAGTTCAGTCTTTCAGTCCAGCTTTCTTGTTACGTCACGTAGATCGACAAACGTAAACAAACCCGTCATTCCCACTACGGAGTAGTTGACTGGATTGATCGTATTTCGGTGATTGGTTAATGCCCGTGACGTCACTGAGATAAGTGACGTCACAGGCGAACAACGAACTACATCCGCAAAAATGGGCTTCTGATGGGTCAACCTTATACTAGGTCAACCATGGACAGTATAACTGTATAGAGAGCCGATATCTTCTCGTTCGCGCCCGCCAGTGCGTCGTTAGAAGTCGTCGAGTGAGGTCTGTAAAAAATGGATAGTGGGATCACCTTCAACAACTCGAGTCTGCACGTTGTTTTTATACTCTTTATTATAGCCTTTATAAATGCTACGTCGGGAACAACTAAATCCTGACTAACAAGGTCTTCTTTCAGTTTCAAAATACTCGCTTATCTCTTCATTTTGCTGGGGTAACCAGCATGGTGAACATTCCACATTAATTCATATTTTTAGAATATCTAAAAGAACAATTGAATATCGTCTGGACTCCACTTTGCTGGATTCTTAGAACCATTATCGTTCAAACGAGCCATGATTCACTTGACCCAAGATACTTCACATGAGCGACACATATGCTCTCACCATGGCTGCATCAACATTACTGTCCCCTTCTCCAGCGAAAAAATCAACACATCGTTGTCCCTCTCGGCCGCGTCTCGGGCACTTGCCGGCACATGCCTCTGAAGCAGCTGAACCCCTATACACGAGGACAGTTCAAGCGGCGGATGAACTGGCGGCCAGTGCTGTCCCTGTGTACAGACACCTGTTCAGTCATTGGTTCATTTTTCGCAAACTTCAAGACAATCAGTGTCGCACATATGAGTTTGTTGTTGATATTGAAAATTTTATGCGAGACCACAACAAATGCCATCTCAACAGCTTTTTTCTTCGAACCATTTATAAAATTGAGTCCCTAGTTGTAACACTGTGATTATCGATACGCTCGCCTCATAAGGAATATGCAAAGCTACGTATTATTTCGAAAATACTTGTAATATATTCCCCAACAACCTCTTAACAACCTTTTTCAAAACGCTTTTTGCGTTTCTAAAATAATTAGTGTGAAAAATGAAGCCGGTAGAGCGACTATATGCGATAAGCTTGGCCTGAGTTTTGTTCCAACTCCCTCAATTCCGAACTGATTTGGATTGAATTAAGGGGACCTGCTACCCTAAATTGGAGGTAGCCTATAAGTATAACTCCTACAGTTATTATCCGATCATCATGAAACTTCACATACATACGTAAAATGTAAAAATAATAACATTTTACTTCTATGAATTTTTCGAAAAAATTGATAGAAAACGTGATATTCATAGAAAACGGACAAATAACGGGTACTATAGAAAATCTATTTCCCCCCACAAATATCGTCCGACAATATCGAGACACATATCATTAGATTCGTAAAGACCATACCTATCAACTCTACCATCACTTCTTTCATTTTCCCCATAGCTTTTTTTTATGCGCGTTTTTCTCATTTTTTCACTTTTTTTACCCCCTCCCCCTCTTCTCCCCCATATATAAGACGAACCATGCACAAATTCAAAAAAAGCGATGGCTAGGTCGATAGATATGGTCTTTACAAATCGAATGACACAACTCTCATTGCTGTAGCTTGAAAACTGTAGGAGGAGATAGGTTTTCCGTGACAATAAGTTGAACTTTTCTAACTTTTCAGGACGGCTCGACAAAGTCCCGTGCGCCTCGAAATAGGCACTCAATGTAGCATGGATACCAAACTGCAGGCTTCTGTAGCTTAATCCACTCAAGGATGCCAGCAGCAACTTGTAGCGCACCTCTACGTACAATGTTAGGAGGGTAACTGAGCTCAGATGCCAGATACACCAAGATATGTAGTCTTGCCGCTGTAATTTTCTTAGGTCTATTTAGTTAAGGAACTCCACCCCCCGCCCCCCACTAAAGCCCGGCCATCTGCGTCAATATTGCCGTACATGGATCGCAGTAGTATCGTTGGAAAGCTCAGATTGTCAGCTTTAAGATGAGACTAAGCATGTAACTGCAGCACAACTCAAGTAGAAACTATATTCAAAGATTTCAGCAGCTAATTACTTTATATGTAATTACTTAAAGAACTCTCCCACCCGCTTCCCTTTGAAGAGACGTCATGAACGTAAATATTGGCGTACAGCAATGGCAGTGGTACCATTGGAAAGAGCAGAATTCCAGCTTTCAGATGAGCACAAAAACCGAAAAACGCCATGATTGAAAATTTTAGGGTAGCAGGTCCCCTTAACAGGAAATTTGGCAGTTGCATTGAAGTATGTTCTCGATTTTTTTCGTTGTGTTGATTTAGCGCTCATGGATTTTAGCCACACGACTCAATATTGTCAAATCTCGACCGATTTCAACCTTAATCAACAGCTAAACTTTAGGCTAACGTTTGGCTGCGAAGAGCATTGTAAGAATTCTTCGTATTTTTTTAACGCTTAAAAGCTAAGTTTTAAATCGTGCTCCAGTTTTGGACTTAAAATTTGTAGCGCGCCCATCTAGAAGCCCCATTCGAGGGCCAAACTTCGATAAATCGAAACAGTTTTTACCACGCTAACAATAAAGCATTTTGTTCACAATGCACTGTAAAGAACGTTTTCCGCAATGCTGCATGTTTTTCTGTTCTTTTCCTGTTAATCTCTTTTATTGTTTGAGTGACATACAGACGCCTGACTTTGCCAAATCGAAACTGACCTTCCCGCTATCAACAACACAGCTTTCTGTTGACATAAAATTCATAATTGGTAATATTTTCGCCCATCACTTCCATAAGAATCGACAGAACGACCACTCCGACATTTTTTAATTAAACCAATTTCGGATTCAATTTCAATACAACCGAGAAGCGATAATTCACCACGTTCTATTTTTTATTTCAAAAGCTTTACCGCTATCTTTTACTTTGCATTGTACCGCGGCAAGCGTTATCATAATTCTTCATCGAAATGCTGTTTTTGCAAATCCCGTAAAAGTGAAGTCACCATCGAGCCGAGTTCTTCACACTTCACAGGGCCCATACTACAAGGTATTCATCCAACCCACACAAATGATTTACATAATAAATAATAATGCATCAGCAACAATACTACCTAACCAATGCTTTTAATCTCCCTTGTGCGGTAAGCGTCGTCGAAGAATTTCGTTTGCTCCGTTTCCATATAAAATGCATGGGCACTTTATCGGAATAATGGCATAAAAAAGATGAGGAAGGGGCACTGATAGTCAGAAGCTATACACAAAAAAATGTACGTTTAAAAATTACTTTTTAAAGACAACACTTCCAAAGAATCCAGTGTCTCCAATCTTACAGATGTACAATGAATTTCGCATTTAATTTTCGAATATTAAAATAAATTAATTTTTCAATTTTTTAATTATTATACTTTTTTTCAAAATCATTTATTCTATTAATTGATTCATGCATTGCCTCTGACTTCACACAAGGGTGCAAAATTTCAGGTCAGACAGGTAAAAGTGTGTCAAATATCAGTTTTAAGATTTGTAGCTGACAAAATTATTTTTCTAATTTTTTAATATTGAATTTTTTTCAAAATCATATATTTTGACATTTGATTCCTGCATTGTCTCCAACTTTACACAAGTGTGCAAAATTTCAGATCGATAGGATAAGTAGAAGTGTATTAAATTTCGATTACAAGATTTGTAGCAGACAGACAAACAAACAAACAAACAGACAAGAAGTGAAGTTAAAGAGAAGTGTTGTAAAAATAGTCGGCCAGTTGTGCTCCGGCGCTGTGAACCTCTGGCCTGTGACTGAACGGCGCTGTTGTGGTGGGCGGCGCTATGTGTCGAAAGCCATGAAGATGCC